ATATGGAAGAGACGCTGCAAGTTTACTCTTCATCTTTAGGGAGCCACAGCGTTAGTTTGAGTTCATGGGGTTTGATTTGCTGCCTTTTTCCTTCGCCCAAGGACACGCACATCTGACGTACGTATGTGTCCAAAGCTGGCAAGGCGCATGAAAGGGGAGTAAACTCGAAAAAGAGGAAGGAGGGGATTGTCATGGGTAGAGGGAAGGGGGAAGGGGGAGGGGGGGGGGGGATGTCGAACAAGAGTTCTGGCGGTGGCGCTTCAGTGCGGCTCTTTCCCGCAACGCTAGATATCCTCGTGATTCTCTCTATGTAGGCGAGTTATAGTGATTCTCTTGTTTGTAACTTCCTAAAAACCGACTGGTGGTAGACGAAGGGATTGGAGCCCCTTCAATATGCTTCTTGTTGCCAGTATAGAGGTGTTGGAGGTGAGCAGTGAATATTCGATGTCTTGGAGTGAAGGCCAGCCCAATGCCATGTGAGCGTGTTTCCTCATATTCTGATGTGAATACGGGTTCCAACTAACCGGTATGCTTCTCTATCACGTAGCGTGCTTGGTGCGCGAAGACGGGCCTCATGAGGCAGGTGCCGTCCGGACGGATACCTCAGGATGCCATTCCATCTGATCATTGACCCGCCCACCTGAATAGACAACAAGCCTTCATATACCCCTCCAATTCAGTTTCTGTCACCAGCACAGCAGGCGCCCTCTAGGTCGGGGGTCAGGTCAAACTGTGGCGTGGATGGTGGAGTGGTTAATGGTCAACAACTTTCGCTAACCAGCCTACTCGACGACAGGCTACGAGTTCGAGTTCGATTTTCCCAGCATGTGCGCCAAGAGATGTAGCCCCTAGTTCAGCACCGGGTGGGCGAACTCTTTTGCTTTTTTGGATCTTTAACGAACGCTTGGGTAAATATGTAAGCGATGTTGATCTGTATTGGGCTGCTTGCAGGTTCAATGCTTCTTTTCAACGGCCCCGAACTTACTAGACCAACAAATTAGAAAGATAGAAGGAGTTCGGGGTGGCTGGGTATAGTGACAGTACCGTGTTGCTGGATTATGTGTACATCGTTGCGTGAGGTTTCACCTTGAAAGGTTGGATCCCACCCCCCAAAAGCTGGTAAAGTCGGAAGGAGCGAGACCCTCGCAGAAGAATTTGAGCTTCGAACATGGGACCTAGAACCTCGAGACTTCTTACAAGTGGTGCCGGGGGCCATTTCCATTACTGAGTACCTCGATGACATTGAATACGAGGGCAAATTAGGGCAAACTTTTGCCATCGTTTTCGAGTAACTGGGTTTTCGGTTTGCCGTGCTTCGTTTCCCAAAGTGTTTTTTCTTTCTTTCACACGGGGGAGTTTCGAGATGGATATTATCAGATCTCGGCAGGACGATTGTTTACTGCTACTGCGCGTGGAACATAACAGCGGGAATGATTTGAAGGCATGAGACGACAACAAGAAGCTTTTGTTACTACTTTCTGGGCCTCAAGCTGGATTCCGGGACAGGAATTAGTGAACACACGGACCTATCCTAGCAGACTTTGCATCCCGTTGTCAGGTTGTAATATGACCGCGGATCAGTGGCCGATCCTGCTTAATGGTCGATTGCGGGAAAGTTTGTGGATTGCGGGTAGGTGGGTGGCCGATGGGACAAGTTTGCTTGGCCCATCTTGTGATACCTGTCTATTAGGATACAGGCTCAGAATGATTTGGAGTGGCTATGTGCTTTGAAGTAGCTTTGACTGGAGAAAGATGAATCTTTAGGATGTTAGTATTTCACTCACGAGGTGTGTGTCAGGCGATGCTAGGTTCAATAGACTGACGATGAAATCCGGTAGTCAAGGGGACGGTGTATCTCATCGAGCCCGGCGCCTGTTGTAGGTCGCGCTCTTGGGCGTGCGAGAGTCTTGAACTGGCATGTTGGTCGTCGATCTATGTCTTGTTCGGTCCGTTATCAACCGTGGAGGGACGAGAGGACTCGACCTCCCGGCCGAAGATCATCTCAATGACTCAACGGGTGTCTCTATTGAGAGCACAAAGCTATACACGCTGTTTTCAATTTCAAGTAGACCTAATCAGAATACTTAAGAGTATGCACCTTCAAGCTTGCTTAACTATCACCTCTAGACTGAACCATGCCATGAACGAGCGGCGGTGGAAGGTTCGGCAATTGGAGATGTGCTAGAAGCCTCTTAAGAGCAATTGTTCTGTCTTTCTAGCGGAGGGTCGACATCAAGCCGCGGTATACACTGAAGTGTGATGTATATGAACCGGGATACTGTAGTAGTATAAGAAGCCATATCCAATGTTGCAAGTAGGATCTTGAATGCAGTCCGGGCAAGTGATTCGATAAGTGGGGAGAGGATCTCTCGGAAGCAGCTCAGTTTGTCCATGTAAGCCTCGAAGCGTCGCAAGTCCTCGGTTGGAAGGCCAGAGGTCTGGACAGATGACAGCCTAGTCTGCGCACATCTGCCTCTTGAAAAGTGTACTCCTCAGAGTGTGGTAGGATAGCTGTTTGTTGACAACTCCAACTCAGCCTAATTTCATCAGCAACGGAATGACGATGGAATTGAAAGACGCAACATGCACTCTGGAGCAAGGCTTGCATCAAGAAGTATATCACAACTCTCATCGTCGTTTATGACCATGCTTATCCGTCCATGGCTGGGATCTTGGCAAGGATAGCTCTGTAATGACATCGACGCCAAGAGAGCAGGCAGAGGAGAGGGGAAATTCATCCCGTTGAACCTCGAGACTTGATCTCTGTGGAGCTCTCATCCAATTATCGAAGAGGCAAAACAAAGTCGAGAGGTAAATACGACGTTTATTGCCCAGCGGGATTGATTGAAGGGAAGCGATCTTCATCTTCAATCCCCACCAGCGTCGGCCATGTTCCGATCGACGTTGGATTAACCTCGAAAGTCTAAAAGACCAGACCAAGTCACCAAGAATGCGAACGTGCCAACCAAATGGCAAAACCCCAAACCCCCTCGTGGAACTAGAAGCCAACCGGGGGGGAAGAAATGTCTCACCGGGGGATCGTAACGTACAGTGACGATCATCGAACGGTTTTTTTGTACCGACTAACTTATAATGGACATCACCCCCCAGCTTTCCCCAGGACTGCCAGCCCGCTTCTCTCCCCGCCCCGGATTGATGATGCGGCGCTCGAGAATTTCCCGGTCGCGTCGGCTATTGGGAGGGCGTTCAGCGCCGTGAAATCTGAGAGAAAGCTACAGCGCAGTAAACACGCATGCGTGGTCTGGACCTTTTTGCCGAGATCGACATAGAGGACCCTAGGCCGATAATGACTGAGGTCTCACAGCATTGGACAAGAACAAACGTAATGTCGATTGCCGCTGTCTCTGTCATGGCGGAGGAGCTGCCACAACCAGGTCATGCATGTCCCGGTATCCAGTGTCACCCAGTACATGAATCGCTCGTTGCACGAGAGACACAAGCACAAACAGAATTACCCGACGATGTCGAGAATTTGGCGGCTGACTGATCCGTGGCTTGTGAACTTGTCACAAGCTCACAACATCTGTACTTTGGGGATAAGCGCCATAAATCCCCGACCAAATGGTGGAGGCTGATGCCGAAGTGTGATTTATCATACTGGATCGCGCTTATGGAAATCTTGGACTAAGAGTTGAATTGTAGATGGCATCGCAGTGGCGGTACACGCTTTATTACGTGAGGCTCCATCTCTATGGCAGGACTTAACGGTTTTTGAGAACCCGGAGCGAAGGAACCTTAGATCCTCCTTGTGACCTCCCACCTCTTTGGTCTCTCGACTGCTTCGCGGCAAACCTTGATTTCGAAGCAATTTGGCGCAGGCTTCCAAGTGACCGCGGTTGACGCTTTAGAGGTGAGCACTATTGACAGGAATGGGCGTGAGATTTCGGCTGTGCCATATTCTCCGTCCGGCTTAGGGCTCCCTCCGCCACGGTCAGCAACACTGAGATTTTAAACTGCCGCGGCTATGCCTTGTACCCTTTTTGCTTACTATGTACCCTGTCTTGTTTCTTTCTTTCCAAGCCCAGGTAGTCGACGGAAGTTTTACAACATCAAGTGCTTTCGAATGGGAAGAAAGGCTCTTGACGTTAAGCGGCACGAAAATAACACGAAGCGAGAGACTTACAACAACCGAGCCTGGGCGGCTCTTGATTGTCAACCACTTTTTTTTTTTTTTTTTTTTGCCAATGAAAACCCATGTTCGTTTTCATTTGATGTCTTGGAAGTTGAGAATCCGTCAGTCGCCGCATTTCTCCGCCATGCAGGTGTCCTGAGTATGTACCCAAAATTTCCGCTGGTTGTCGTGGCTCCTCTTTGTCGCCTTGCCTCCTCATCCGCATCCCGCGGATTTCTTTTCAAGCATGCGCGCGTATTATTGTCTTGGCGCCTTTCAGTGAACCTGGATCGGGTGGGCTTTTAGAGGATCTTCATCTGACGGGGCCTCAGAATCTGACTCTCTTTTCCTACTCTCGCCAACCCTTACACACACCCACACACCCCAGTCAGACGGGCGTGGGGACTTCTTTCTTCCCTCTTTGGCGGAGTCGCGGAGTAGACTGGACTGGCCATTGCTTGACCCAAGGAACCAAGCACCACCAAGGAATCAAGCTATGCAGGCCAAAGTACCGCGTGGAGGCGAACTCCTTGGCCGCAGTAAGTGTGCTGTTTGTCATGCCCAATCTCGTGAGATGGAGGCGTCTGTTTGGGGTGTGCCTCCTGCTCTCCGATGCTGGGTCCTATCTTTGCCCCGGACTGGAGCGGGCACCTCTTGAGGCATCTGTCAAGATCTGTCTCCCGGAAGACCGAAAGGTAGGATAAAGAGGTCCTCCGTCCCCCTTCTTCCCGGGGCTTGCTATTCACCACCCTTGAGCCCTTTCCCTTTCTCTCCCTGCCTCTCCGGGGAAAACTTTAATACTGCTTATATTTTAAGAGTCCATATTCAACCCTGCCCTGGTTCCGACTTACGCCAACACACCAAAATCATGAAGTCCTCCCTCCTCCTCCCCTTCGTGACCCTGGCCTCGGCCATCTGCCACCACCGCACATCGCTCTACCGCCGGAGCCACGGCGGCATCGCGGCCCGCGGCGAGGACGGCTTGGTCGAGGTCGCAAAGTTTGGCTACGACGACCTCACGGGTCCCCTCAACTGGCACGGCCACAACAACCAGTCGTCCAAATGCGCCACGGGTGCGTGGCAGAGCCCCATCAACCTCAACGACACCTCGGCGACGCTCGTTCCCGGCACGAGCTTGAAGTTTGACGTGCCTGACCTGCCCCACGGCGCTGCGTTTGAGAATCTGGGCAGCACGCTCGAGGTCGTGGCAGAGAACGGCACGCTGATGATGCGTGGGCGCACATTTCACCTGAGGCAGTTCCATTTCCATACGCCTAGCGAGCATAGGGTTGATAGCGAGTACTTCCCCATGGAGGTACATTTTGTCTTTGAGGCCGATGAGCAGCAGTTGAAGAGTAAGTCTTCCCCTCTCCTCCTTCTAAGTCTCCCATTCTCCTCGTTCTCGTCAAAAACTACGACCCAAGAAAACCCACTCGTACAAACTTGCTTTTACGGTTTCTTGTTTACTGTTCAGCGATGGGACCTTGTGGATCGCAAGGGTAAAGACCAGAAACCAGACAGAACGACAGACTAACTGGTACCTCCCCCGTCCCCCCACCCCCCATAGACTCCACAGGGCCCAGCAACTCCGTCGTGGGGTTCCTCATCGAAGTCGACAACCGCGCGTCCTCGCCCTTGCTAGCCAACGTCTTTGCCCACCTCGACGAGGTCGAGGAGCCGGGCTTGCACGCCGAGACGAACAGCCTGAACTTTGGCGAGCTGAAGCGCCACCTGGAGCAATCAGACGTCTACCAGTACGACGGGTCTCTCACGACGCCGCCGTGCACCGAGGGCATCGCGTGGAATGTCGTGGCGGAGCCGTTGAGGATCGACGACGTCACGTACCGCGCCGCCAAGAAGGTGTTGAAGTTCAACTCGCGGTATACGCAGAACGTGCCTGGCCAGAGGAACTTGTTGGAGAACTCGAGGGTTATGCTTAATGCCGTGTCACCGTGAGGAATAAAGACGGGGAACAGGCAGTATGAGCCGATTCTGTGTACGCTAGAGGCTTGGAGCAACCTGATTTTTTGGATCAGAGGGGTAGACGAGATTTAGAGATGTGGAGGAAGCAACAAGATTTGGGGTGCGTGTGGGTTGTTTCGTTTAGTCCTGTATACTTGGGGCTGGGTGGTTCATGATGTGGATCTCACGGAGACGGAACTTTTGGCTCGATTGGCGTTTATGAGGGGTGCTTTTACGTATGGACTTGCATATATAGTACAGATGTGGGAAACCATATGGGAGGGAGGTTGGTGAGCATACACATTGTGCATATGAGCGGTCATACAGATAGTGTATGTACTTCGTAGATGCGTACGGATACAGCGTACGCATACAGATATCACAAAATACAATCAAAGCATGACAGGATTTACGTTTCTCGGCGTGGACGAAGCACAGGGTTCAGAAAGATAAGGGCAATGATCATAAAAGTTCAATGTAAAACGTTGTATTCTACTCTGTAAAATTCGACTCCATGGTATCATTCCATAAACGCCTTTCGAGCACCGGTGATTATATCCACGGAATCCGCGCACACATGAGTCATGTTCTTAGAAACTCTGGCAGTAAAACTGTGCCGAATACTCGTCTTCCCTTTTCCGATGACATCTATTCCTTCGCGAAACCCCGGATTTGCGGCCATGGCTTTGTCCGCCTTTCTCCGTCAAATGACGAAGCAAGACAAACGAAAACGTTGGCGGGACGTCGTTCTTGGCTCAAGTAAGAAGCAAATCGTATCCGCATGCATGATGCAGGCCATGATAGAAAAAAGCAATGAACGACATGGACGGACGTTGACCGGAGCGATGTCACGCTCCTGGGCCCGTCTGGTTTTCGTCTTGGTTCCTTTCTCCGCAATACGGCGGCGGCGTAAAGCACCCCAACCCCGGGCAAGTTGATAACTTGACGGGGCATTCGCAAGGGGATGTAGAAATGGAAGGCTGCTATTGCGCGAGTATCCGTAAAGAGATGAGAGGTCCAATTGCGAAGCGACGGAAGAAGTTGACGACGCCATCGTGTGATTGGTGACCTGTTTTGAGGACCCCCGGTTCGATTCAACGGTTTTCACTTGGCACAATTCAAGCTGTTTCTGCTACTCGTTGGCGCGAACTTTGCCAAGACACCGGAATGGAGATGTGAGAGGTTTGGCCAAAGGAATTGGGTACGCGGACTATGATACCCATGTGGAGTGGAGATGGAATGGACCATTGACTCCAAGTCTTGTCTTGCGTGACGTGACCGCGGAGGCCAGTGTGGACTGTGTGGGAGGTCGGGGCGCAACGATGAATGCAACTTTCCCAATGGGTCTCCTGTCTTGGCTCTTGGCATGGCATGCACGAGTCAGCTATTCTTCCCCCTTTCCCCCTCATCTCAGCCTGCTGCATCTATCTTTCACTCTGCGGACTTTTGTTCTTGCAATAGGCAATGGAGCACACAGAAAGAGGGAAGACATGGATGGCAGGGTGGGGGGGGGGGGGGATGAGGACTGGGGATCGGAGGCCGAATTTTGCGGTTTCCCGCTTGGCGTCTGAAGCCGCGTGCCGGTTCCTTGAGCCTTGTGGGGCCCCACCGGTCTCGCCGATTCCTTGACGGGGCTCTCGCGGTCCGATCGCGTACGGCGACGGCGAAGGGACGGCGGTTTGCTGCCGACCAGGTCGTCGTGTTGTTTTTTTGGTATCGGTGTTTTAATCTCGATTTCTGGAAGCGCCTCTGATGGGTGTTTTGGGCTTCCCTCTCGAAATATCAGACACTTCAACCTAACGACAACCTAGTCCTTCTTGAAGACGCTGCGGGCCATGTCCGTGAGGGAACGGCCGCCGAACAGGAACTGCGAGCTGTGGCGCCCGCAGTGGGTGTAGACATTGACGGTCTGGGAGTGGGAGGACTTGCGCTTCGAGGGGCGCGGGCAGTCTGTAGAGACTGCCCTTCTGTGGGTGAAGGTGTCCGAGTCTGCGGAGATGGAGCTTGCGTCTGAGCCGGCGCGGCTGCTCTTGGAACGAGGAGCGTCGAAGTTGGGGGTGTTGAGGGAAGACATGATGTAAGAGATTGGTGTCTTTTGATGATTCTGTTTGTTTGTTTGTCTGTCTGGAAATAGATGTCTTCAATGGTTGGATGGTTCAGTTGAAGATTGGATGATGAATTGATTGTACAATACAATGACAGACTCGTCTAGACCGCGGGGGCACCCGTCCTTAAATGCTTGAAGGGTTCGTCATTGCTGGATACGGCTACACGGCGGTATTTTCTTGGCTTCCTGCTGACGACCGCTTGGTCGGCATGGATTCACGACGCCTGGTCTAAGAATGCTGTGCCCCGAGTGGCCGCTTGCCGACTTGGCCGGGTTGCCGGTCGATAGCAGACCCACACAAGGACCGGTCTGCTGGACACGGTTTACCCCATTGATGTGACGCCGCGACCGAATGCGAGCCGCCGAGTGGGAGAGGTGGAGCTTGGCCTCGTTAGGCAACAGCTAATGCAGGTGCGCTCCCTTGTGTTCGTTCGCCATGACATGCTTCCGCATTCGTAGCGTATCCGTACGACGCTAATGGCTGTCTTTACGCGAGGATCTGCAAACTGGGCTGATCGTTTCGCGACGGCCTCAAAACTGGCGTGCTGACACAAGGGATAGGCTTAACTGTAAAATTTGAGGCCCCTTTGAATGTTCGCCAGAAGAAGCAACAACAGGTTTCCTCCCCGTTGCTCAAGCCTCACAATCTGTCTCGCCAGAGCCTCGTTCGCTCAAGCAAGAAACGAGGAACGTGGGCGAGATAACGGCCGCATACAGTAGGTAGGTATGCACGCATTGCATGCTTTAATCTCGTGACTCTGAACGACTTCTCGGTGTTGGCGAATAGGAGGGTATCTCGGCACGGCAGCGTCGTCAGCTTGGTTGGTTTAGTCATACGCCGTACCGAAGTTCGGACGACGCCGATGGCTTAGCGCCGTTTGTGGTTCTCGGCGCCGCTGCACGTGATGTTTGTTTATCTGGATACCTGCTGAGTCGGGCGCACCGAGAATTGCTCAGGCCGCAAGGCATAAACGTAAGTGAGGTACCCACCACAATCGTCACGTGACCCCCAGCCAGAGTGACAAGTGACTTGCTCAAGCCAGGGGCACCAGCCACGTTCCCGGGCCACGTTCCTGACCTTGGCGCCCGGAAGCTTAAGCCTGCGGGTTAGGTACCCCAGATTCGGAGCCGTAGGGCTGATGGAAAGGTCGACTTGGTGAAGCTTGAGATTGTTTCGTCGTGAAGAGAGTAATCGTGAAGAAGTTGGTCTTTTCCCGGTTCATTGTTGATGAAAATTGGACGAGTTGGTTGAGATCCCCAGGCGACCCATATGCCGAAACTTGATAGCACCAAAACCCGTCCTTCGCTGCTAATCACAACTGATGCTCAGAGACGAGCATTCTGAGGCCCGAATGCGATAGAAAATTGAGTTATGACATCATTGGCATTGGTCGGTCATTATCAGGCGCATCTATGCGCCGCGGCTTCTCACTCTTCCAAAATGCGAGCGGGTTGGCCAAGGCTGTCTGACTTGCGTTTCCGTTGAGTGATAAGACGCAGTGGCCCGAAGTTGCACTTCATTCGAGGGCTCTCAATGTCTCTCTTTCAAGATACAATAATGCGGTCGCGACAATGCGACAATTTGTGGTGGACACTCATCGCCACCCACTTACCCCGGGCCCGACTTTTTTAACCTCTTGCGCCGAGGAGCACCGTCAATCCTTGCAGGGTGATTGACATGCTTCAGACTTTCGACAGGTAGAGACGAACATCGGTTGACAGAGCCGCTGACCGTGCTCGGGTAGCCGAAAATTGAACAGACAGTCATATTTCCTCATGTCAATGGAAGAGAATTCCAAGATGCAGATTTCATTCAGATCGAGGCCCCCTCAACGAAGTCGGTTGGATTGAAGAGAAGATGGATCCACACTCCCCAAAACGGAAGTCTCGCAGCCTGAGAGCGTCGAACGCTCGGGCCATTTGTGGCTGGTGGGCGCTGCACGTGAGACCCACTCTACAGACTCTCGTCCTTCCTCGCCCGAGTGAACGGCGCGCAACTACGCGCTGTGGTGATTTTTCAGCGAATCCGACTTTATCATCAGCAGGCGGCGTTTTCATTCCTCGCTGTGCAATATCGCCAGCAACAACTGTCGTCGACATCGACGCCGACTCGACTTTTTGCGATCGGATTGCTCAGAAGCCAATGGCGTTGTGCCGCGCAAACACCTTTGCCTAAACGCCTCCATTGTTCTTGCACATCATCCTCCCTGAGCGCTAAGACACTGGTATGGCCTTCCTACTTACTTCCCTTCATCTTCTGAGTCGCTGCAATGGAAAAATGAGATTTGACCTCATTGTCTTTTATCGGAGCGCCTCTAATTGCGTTTTCTTGTTTGCATGTATATGCTAATCGTTGGTATCCAGACCTTGGCTCAAGGTACCTAGGCAGCAAGCAGTAGCTGGCCCCGGCGTGCACAATACTCAAAGAACGCGATACCAAACCTTTCACCCACCACACATCGTCTAATTCCTCAATCGATTCACAATGCCCTCTAAACGAAAGCGCAACATCGAGGATTTCGATCCTAACAAGTCGGATTCTGATGACGAGAACTTCGAGCCCGGCGCGGATGGCCCCCCCGTTCGCACCAAGAAGCGATCGCGCGGGTCCAAGAGTCAAAACGCCGGTGGCAGTGGACGGCGCCGGAACAACCGCTATCGAGGATCCGACATTGAAGATGAAGACGATGACGACGTGTCTGATAGTCAAGACGAGGGCTCCTTCGTCTCTGAAGATGACGAAGAAGAAGAGGCCATGCCTGTCAATGCAGCTGGTCGTAGATCAAGAAAGGCCGCGACGAAGCACAATAGCTACAAAGAAAGTGACGACGATGAATCCGACCCCGCCGAAGAGTCAGACGACGTGCTCTCGGAGGATTTGCCTAAGCGCAAGAAAAAGGACAGCTTGATGATTAAGCTGAAAGTGCCAAAGGCTGCATCGACCCCCGGTCCTGCTCCTGTCACTCGACGATCAACCCGTGCCCACACCGAGGAGTACGGCGAGGAGCACGTTGAACTCACCAACTCCGGCAAACATGGCCGGCCTGCGTCGCGTTCTAGGAGCCCCGAGACTCTGGCCCGCACTCGGTCTTCCCGCTCTATTAAGGGTCTGAAGAAGGGACCCGAGACAATCGAAGAGGCTACCCAAGAAAGCAGCGGCCCTCGGGAAGAGGATGCCGAAGTCGATGAATTGGCTGGCGATGTTGAACAAGCCGTCGAAGAAACAAAGGATACCGAGATGGAGGATGTCAAAGAATCGACAGAGATCGTGAAAGGAGACCTTGCGGAAGACGATGATGACGACGAAGACGAAGGTCCAATCATCACACGGCGAACCAGGGCAAAGAGAGGAAGTGGCTCTGGACCTGCTGAGCCCGCCGAGCCGGAGGCTGATGCCGAAGGTGAAGCCGACGACGATGTTCCCAAACGATCTGGGCGGCTTACTCGCCGCAACGGGCTCCGAAAATCAAAATCTGTCCAAGAGCCAAGTAGCGATTTCGAGCCCGGCGAAGAGTCAGCAGGGGAGGAAGAACACATGTCCGAGTCGCCCAAAAAGGATTCCGGCGATGGTGACGACGGTGATTTCGACAGCCCGGCTCCGCGCGGTAGGGCCGCCAAGCCAAAGGGTCGATCCACCCGGAGCTCGCGCCGTGGCGCCGAGTCGGCCGAGGAAGTCGAGCTAGACCAAGACGAGTTGGCCGAAGAGCTCCACGAACTAAGACAAGATTCACGCTCGCGGCGTCCTCGACGACCTTCACCTGCAATCATCTATCAAGAAACAGCATCTAAGCGACGCAGAGCTGCCGCCAAGCCGATGAACTACTTCATGCCACCCCTCTCTGCCGTCAATATAGAGGAAGATGACAACGAAGATCCAGCCCCGACTCCTGCACGTCGTCGCGGAGGCCGCGGGGGTGCAAGCCAGGCTTGGGACCGCGCTCTTAACACAACATTCGGACCTTTTGGAGGCGGAGGCGGCGGCGGGTCACTTCTTGCCGGGCCCTGGGGGTCCGGCATGGCCGCAGGAGGTGTCGATTCGGACAGCAGTGATGATGAAATGGGCCAACGCTCGGGGCCTGCCGCTGGAAATGTTGGCATGACGCCCACATCAGCCGCCGCCCCAGCTGGACTTCTTCCCGGACTTGCGCAGCCTCTGGGCGGGGAGGGTGGCGTGGGAGCAGCTCCCAACGTCGGCAAGATCAAAAACCAGAAGGCTTTGGCAGATGCCGATCCTCTCGGAGTCGATCTGACCGTGGACTTCAATCACGTCGGTGGTCTCAAGGGTCACATTGATCAGCTGAAGGAAATGGTCCAGCTCCCCCTTCTATACCCCGAGCTCTTCCAGAGATTCCACGTCACGCCACCTCGAGGTGTTCTTTTCCACGGTCCTCCCGGCACTGGTAAGACTCTACTTGCTAGAGCCCTCGCAAACTCCGTCGGCGTTGGAGGTCGCAAGATCACTTTCTACATGAGAAAGGGAGCCGACGCTCTGAGCAAATGGGTTGGTGAAGCCGAGAAGCAGCTGCGTCTGCTCTTTGAGGAAGCTAGGAGGACGCAGCCTAGCATCATTTTCTTCGACGAAATTGATGGCTTGGCTCCGGTGCGCTCCAGCAAGCAGGAGCAGATTCACGCTTCCATCGTCTCAACACTCCTGGCCCTGATGGACGGTATGGACGGCCGCGGACAGGTTATTGTAATCGGCGCCACCAATCGTCCTGACAACATCGACCCCGCTCTCAGACGACCCGGGCGATTCGACCGAGAGTTTTACTTCCCACTTCCAGATGTGGAAGGTCGGCGGTCCATTCTTGATATCCATACCAAGGATTGGGGTCTTGCAGAGCCATTCAAGCAACAGCTCGCCGAAAACACCAAGGGCTATGGAGGTGCTGATCTTCGTGCTCTTTGCACGGAGGCTGCTCTCAACTCCATTCAGAGGACATACCCGCAGGTCTACTCGTCAAAAGACAAGCTCATTGTCAACCCTGACAAGATCAATATTCACGCGACAGATTTCATGCTGTCGATCAAGAAGATGATCCCGTCATCTGAGAGATCCGCCGGCACAGGCGCTGCTCCTTTGCCCAAGGGGATCGAGCCGCTGCTTAGAGACCAGTTCGGATCGATCAAGAAGGCCTTGGACGACGTGTTGCCTCGTAAGAAGAAGCTGACAGCGCTGGAAGAAGCCATGTTTGAGCAATTCGAGGACGAGGACCACGGCTTCGGCAGAGAAGCTCTTCACCAAGAGTTCGAGCGGTCGAGAATCTTCCGCCCGCGATTCCTGATCCACGGCTTTGCGGGCATGGGCCAGAGTTACTTGTCCTCTGCCCTACTGCACTACTTCGAAGGTGTGCATGTCCAGAACTTTGGGCTTCCCAACTTATTAGCCGACGGACGGGTAGGTCCATCTCCATCCCACTGACGTTTGCATTGCTAACGTTTCGCAGCCCATGGAACAGGTCATCGTCAGTCTGTTCACTGAAGTGAAGAGACACAAGCCAAGTGTCATATACATCCCCAGCATCGAGTCGTGGTATGCCGCTATGAGAGACACGCTACCATTCATCACATTCAAGAACATGCTCAAGTCTATACCGCCCACAGATCCCATTCTGGTGCTTGCCACGGCAGAGTATGAAGCTGGAGAAGACCTTGCGCCTGAGCTCGTCCGGGAGCTATTCGCCTTTTCCCGGAAAAATCGATTGCAGATCCAGCGGCCGAAGCATGTAAGTGCAATAGATGAATGCTTGCGAGGATCTCTTTGCTAATTTTATCAGTCAAATCGGCGGGAATACTTCGCTTCCATTGTCGACCATATTCGCAAGAGTCCGGCCGACTTTCCTGACCCCGCCAATCGAAAGAAGAGAGTCTTGGAGGAGCTGCCCATTGCTCCGCCGCCGCCACCGAAAGTACCCACCAAAGAAGAGATCAAGGCCATGCAGAAACGCGACCACCAGTTGCTCAATATCTTGAAGGTACAACTGCAGCCAATCATGGACCAGATCAACAGGAAGTACAAGAAGTTCAGACAGCCCGTCCTTACCCCCGGCCAGCTGGATTACCTCTTCCTCGAAAAGGATCCCAACTATGTCCGCCCCGATGTAGCGGGTATGGAGCATCGACCTTTTGAGATTGTGAAGGACAAGTACGATGTTGACGTGCTACGCGAGACAATCTCTGGCAAGACTTTCTACAACCTCGAAACGACCACTATTGAGGAGAGATTGTCAAACGGCTTTTACTGCCGACCAAAGGACTTCCTTCGAGACATCAAATCGCTTGCCAAAGATGCCAAGAACATTGGCGACAAAGAGCGGACGCTCAAGGCAAATGAGCTTGTCAGCAATGTCGAAGTCGACGTCGCCACGATTGAGGGCAACACCAGCACTGTGGACTGGGAGGCGCTGCACCAGAGACAGCTTCAACGCGCCAAGGTTCAAGCCGAGAAGGCGAGGAAGAAGATGGCGCTTCAGTCTGTTCTCGACCGTGTTCAAGGCGATGTGGGCGGTGGTAATGACAGCGACTCACAAGGGCCGGTTACTCTGGGCGAGCAGATTCCTGGGTCTGGTCATGCCATGGCTCGTTTCCAGGTAATGAGCCCGGGGCCAAGCGGCGGCGTGGGATCCCACCAGCAAAGCAATGGCACATCAAACCCTTCTCGGCAGAGCGATGTGCACATGAGCGGCGTGGACGACGACACAACGCAAGATAGCTCCATGCAGCCGCCAGCTCAATGGCCGCCGCAAGGAAACGCGACAACCGGTACTACACAGGTGTCCCAGAGATCTGTCATCACCACAGTACCACCCGGCATGTCGCCCTCTGCGATTGTGAACGACGCTTCCACCACCAAAACGTCAGATCCATCGGACAGATCAACAGACAAGTGGAGCACGCAAGCGACAGGGCCGGCAAATGGGTTCCATCCAGACCAATCTAGCCAAGGCGACAACTCGCAGCTGCAAGATACCCAGATCCCTGCCGGTATGGATCCTGTGAGCCAGGCCACTTCCAGCGACGCAGCTTGGCCCCATTCCCAAGCCCACGGTATGGCGCGTGGAATGATTAACCCGCTTGGTAGTCAGACGTCGTCCCCCAATAAGTCTAGGAGCTCAGGAGACTCGAAGCACGCCATGCCTTTGGTCAACATTCTCAATGACTCGACAAGCGAAGACATTAGGAATTCAGGTTCTTCATCCTCGCAGCAGCAGCCTGTCATCCACGAAGGCCAGGTTGAGCAATTCCTCGACGAGTTGACGGAGAGAACATCGGGCTGCACCATTGAGCAATTGGAGCAGATCAACCGCGAGCTCATGGACGAGATTTGGAATACGAGGCATGAGTGGAACCGCATGAAGGTTCTCGGCGACCTGACCGACGTGTTCAACGAGACCATTAGCGACATTGAGAGTATTCAGGGCTTGTTCCAGCAGAGCCAGCAGGCATGAAAGAGGGGACACGCGAAGCCGGATACCGCAAATATTCCCCACGACTTGTACCATAACATGTTTCCTTGAATTTCTTTTTCCCAAACAATGTCTTGAGTTTTTCTTCCCGGCATTCATGGCGGAAATACTGGTTGGCGATGGAAGGGGTTGGGTTGGAGGTTGGGGGGAAGGGCAACCGGCAATGGTCTAATTTGTGAGCGACGGGATGACCCCCTTTTTTTCTTGTGATAAAGTGCATTATATCGAGAAATAACCGCATCCTACTCCGTGTAGCATGGGGTAGGCAATAGACAAAACTGCATTGCACTATGCTTGCTGATGGACTTTGACTCTGCGTGTCTCGACTATCGTGAAGACTATGGCTTGGCTTAATCTATGCCTCAGGATGGGTGGAAATCGCAGTGAAATAAATCATGCCTTATGCAAACTGTAGGGCTGCAGATAGTTGTGCCACTTGGCATGCCTTCAAAACCCGCTGTGATGACTTGTTTTACCCCGACTTTGACTCTTGCGATGGGTTAAGAATGCAGTGCAGATGCTCAGCCCTACGATTGCAGCCAGCAGCCTAGCTTCTGCTTCGCCACTTGGAAATCTTGGATTCCATACGTCGACCACGCTACCTGCCCTCATTAGACGGCATAACGCTGTCTTTTTGAGAAACCATTTTATTCCTACACAAGATAGCTACCTAAAGTACTCCAATTCAAAGCTTCGCCTTGGCGCTATCATACCTCTTCCCCTCGTCGTCCTGCTCCTTGACACGCAAATCGGGCAGGTCTGCCGGCATAATTCTCCGCGGCGTGGACCCGGGTACGAGGGAGTACTTTGAAAAGTTCGTGACTCCCACGTGGTCCCGCAGAAAGTCTTCGTCTAAGACGAGCTCGCCGTTGACCTTTGCGGCGGGCGCGCGGAGGATCTCGAGAATGGCGTCGGAGAAGATTGTGGGTTTGCGCAGGTCCTTTGATTCGTCGGCGTTTGTGGCTTGGAATTTTTGGGTTGCTGCGGATTCAATGGCCTAGAATGAATCTCTCTCGTTAGTTTGCGTGATTCAACGTGTGTTGAGTTTACTAGAAGACGATTCAGGCTCATCTATCGAATATTGTCCTGAGACCGAGAAGCAGGTGCTTCTCCTCGGAGAGAGGATACAGGAGAAGAAAAAGGGCAAACATACCGCGGCGGGCCAGATACTCGTAATCGCCATCTCATCCAACCCCTGCCGGACGAGGTCCATAGCCAAGCCCTTTGTCAGGACGCTCATGCCGACTTTACCCATGGCGTAGGCCGTCTTGCCCCGGAAGAAGCGGCTGTAGATGGGCGGGCTGACGACGACGACGCGGCCGCGGCGCTGGCGCTTGAGGTGCGGGAGCGCGGCGTGGAGGGTCAGGTAGAGGCCCTCTGGGTTCACGCGCTGCATGAGCTGGAAGCGTTTTGGGGGCGTGTCTTCGACCGAGGCCCACCAGATCGCGCCTGAGTTGTAGACTAGGACGTCGAGGCGGGCGTAGATCTGGAGGGGAGGTTTGTGTCAGTGGATATATAGGTGGGATAATTAGAAGGTGATTGGGGGTAATGGGAGTAGAGCGAGGGGAAGCCTGATGGATTAGATAGATACCTTGATCGTCTGTTCGATTAGCCGTGTGACGCTGTCTTGGTCTCGCACGTCGACGGCGATGGGTGTTGCGTCGCCGCCGGCCTCGTGGATCTCACGAGCTACTGTGCTGATGGTTGAATCATTTGAATTGGGATTCGGTGGGAAGGGGTTGGCCTTGGATGCGTCGCTGGTGGTCTTTGCAGCAACGACGACTGGCGATGGGCTTTTAGCTAGTGGATTCTATGGATCGTGAAGACAGGCGGATTGGCATTACCTGCATAGCCATTCTTTGCGAGGTCAATGGCGATTTGTCGACCGATGCCTCTCGAGGCGCCGACTACGAGAGCTACTTGCTTGGATTCGCCCATTGTGTTTACTTGGGATAAGTGCTTGTCTGTCGTGGGAGATGTGACCGGGGGATTCTAGCATGTGATGAGATGGAAAGTAATTCAGGTACGATTATCCCACAAAGCGATTGATACCAGGTCAACGTAGCATACCCAAGTATATAAGCCGTGAGTTGCGCAAAGTAATGTGAGACTTTGTACACATGCCGTCGGGACTCGGTATGGGTAGACGTGTATTAGTGATCGTCCCCGATTGAGCTTGAAGCTAATCGATGGAGCTTTATCCGTACCCCAGACACCCACCCGCTTGTGCCGAGGTTCCCCACGCCATCCACCTCAAGTTCACCTCTTCAACCTGTCTTGATGCACATCTGTTCAACGTTTACTACAACGATTGCGCCATCAAGTGTGTATCGGAGAATATTACGTTCTTGTCCGTCAACAAGCCTAAGTCGCAAGCATCGCTACAGCTTTCTGTCTCCGAGTACCGCCGAGATGGGTGGCAAGATCGATGCTTACATAGACATTGGTGAGTCTCACTTTTTACTACGGAGTACTCAAGAACCCAAGGGCTTTACTCACAATAGTTGTCAGCATCACTGTATAGTTATATCGCCTTCACTCACATAGTCAACAACCAGGAACTTCTTGCAGCTCATGGGGTCCAGATAGAGTTCGTCTTCTCGATCCGACCAGGGTCCCTCTTAGTTACAGTCACTCACTGATATCTCGTTAGTATCCACCCGGTTCTTCTTGGTGCCATCAACAACGCTTCAGGTAATTTTGTCCAGATATCCAAGAAAGTAATGAGCGTCTAACTCCTCTACCTCACAGGAAATAAACCACCATGGACCCTCCCAGCCAAGGCAGAGTACGGCACCTTTGACGCCCGCCGCTCCTCCGCCCGAGCAGGCAAGCCCGACATCACCACCCCCGAGAGCTTCATGGAGCGAAGCATGACGATCGGCCCCCTCCGCGCCCTGCACTTCATTAAGGCAAACTACCCAGACGCCACCTACCAGACGGCATGGCACTGGTTCCTCCACTGCTTCTGGGAGCCGCCCAACCTCAACCTCACGAAGCCCGACGTCCTGGCCAAGGCGATCGCGGACGCGCCTAAGCAGTACCCACCGCCCGCCGGCGGCAACACGCAAGAAGGATTGTTCAGCGAGGCGGACGTGAAGAAGATCCTGCAGGGGGCCGGGTCGCAGGAGATCAAGGACTCGGTCAAGGCCAAGACGCAGGAGGCGATTGATCATGGTGCGTTTGGCGCGCCGTGGTTCTGGGCTGTGAACGAGCAGGGCAAGGGCGAGCCCTTTTTTGGGAGCGATAGGTTTCACTTCATCTATGAGTACCTGGGCGTCCCTTACCAGGACATTGCCATCTTGCCACCTGGAGGCAAGGCGACCGCGAAGCTGTAGTCCGGTCGTGTATGGATTATGTCTGTAATTTGTTTAGGGGGTATCTCTTTTGTTATCTCCATAAATAAACGCCGAGCCGTATTCCATACCCAAGAACCCGTAAAACCAGATAGCGAGAACAACACGACAAAGTTCACTGCACACGACCAGCCATCCTCGCCTGCCGCGCGTCGTCTTCCCTCTTGGCCTCGCTGCGCGCCAGGAAATCCTGCCTCTCGGCATACGACCCCTTGGCCCTGCCCGCCAGCTCGAGCTCGTCCTTGAGCCCTTCCTTGTCCACGAATCCGGCCCAGTCCATCTTGCTCTTCTGCACCGTGTTGAGCTTCTTGGCCTGCGCCTCCTTCTCCCTCGCCTTGATCCGCACCGTCATGCCGAGGTTCAGATCAGAGCGCTGGCTGACAATCTCAATGACGGGCTCAAAGGCCGAGCGGAACGCCTTCTTGAGGACGCGTTTCGGTTCTCCGCCCTTGTTGTCCGCGTCCGCGTCCGCGGTTTCCGCGGCGGCGGCGTCCTTGCCGAGAGAGGCGAGATAGAGCTTTGCCTCGGCTGAGGAGCGCGCCACGACTTTTTCTTCGGTGTGGACTTTGCCTGCAAAGTTGTAGGTTCGCTTGATGCGGATCGTGTCTGATGGGTCGCCTGCCTGGGCTTCGTCCGGCTTGCTCGTACCAGGCGCCGCGGCGGCAGCGGTTGTAACGTCGGCTTCCCCTCCGTTCTCGTTCTCGCCGGCCGGTGCCGCTGAAGCCTTCTGGTCGGATAGCATCTGTGCCCAGAGGGCATCGACGTCGACCGTTACCGGGCCAGATGCGGCCGCGACTTTGCGCTCTTCTTTTCTGTTACACGAACTGTCAGCGACGCCGAGCAAGAAAAGCGTGCGAGAAAACGCCGTGTCTCCGACTTACTCTGCAGCGCGCATGCTCCGCGTCTTCACCAGTCCTCCTTCGCCACCCTCGTCCTCCACGCCCAGGGCCAGGGCGGCGGCTGCATCCCTCGCAGCCTTTTTAAGCTTCTTCTTCGCTGCCTTCTTGATCAGGGCTTCATCTCCCGAGTTCTCAAAGTCTGCAGCCTCGTCGCCGCTGGCATCGCGCTTGCGCTTGGTGGTTTTCTTTGCTGCATCCTCCCCGTCGTCAGCTTCGGAGTCGGACGTTTCGGGGGCGCCATCGTCGGCTGCGGCTGCGGCTGCGTCTTCGGGCGCAAAGTCCGAGTCCTGGGAGGATTCGTACTCTTCGTCGTCTATGGTCGGATCGGGAGGCATATTCGAGATAGTGGTGGGGTTGACGTGGTTGAAGAAGTTGAAAAGTCGCGTTCGAGCGTGGACTTGGCTGAGAAAGTTCGGTCGGCTGCTATCGGCACTATCTTGACCGAATGCGTTCGGTGAGTCAAGGTCTGTGTCCAATCAAAGAGCGCTACCCCCACCATCTTACAACCATTGACATGTCCTCGACGTCCTTGGTTTTATCCGGTTGACAGCATCATTATCTACGTTTCAAGAGGGGAGACCAGACCCGGCTCCATAAAAGCAATTTAACCGGCGCGACGGATTGTAAGTTCACGCCTTCGAGGTTTCTCACCCGGCACGTCTTCCGAGTCGGCGATCTACTCTACACACTCTCCTAGATACGTCTGATCTTGAGCTCCCCCGCACAATATACGCTTCTTTAGCGGTGGTCAATACAAACACCCGGAGCTTCTGCCCTTCGTTGGGTTCTAGACATAAATAGATGACTATTATCCTTGCTTGAAACTTCGACTCAACGCCTGCTCAATCTGTCTGCGTTCTATTGACCCTAGTAGAATCTACTGCATCTTGATACGCTCAACTTTGCTACCTATTCCCTATTTTTTACATTACACTCAATTAAACACTCTAGCAAAGAACGATATCTACCTTTCACTGTCGTCCAGAACTATGTCTGCCAATATAGAGCCGCTCACCGATGCTCAGAAAGAGCACTTTAGAACAACAGGCTGGTTGAAGCTGAGCAACTGCTTCACAAAGGAACAAGCAGAATGGGTCACCAAGGACGTATGGACCCGACTGGGCATGGACCCCGGCGACAAGTTAACCTGGAAGCAAGTAACAAACATGCCCCATCACCGCACCTTTGACGCCTCCGAGTACGCGCCCAAGGCATGGGCCGCCATCTGCGAGCTGTGCGGCGGCGAGGACCGGGTGGCGCCCGAGTCAAAGGCGTGGAGGGACTCTCTCATTGTCAACCTGGGCAGCGAGGAGTACGAGGGCACGGAGCCCGACCCCAAGGAGCTGGGCATCTGGCACGTGGACGGCGACTTTTTCGTCCACTACCTCGACTCACCCGAGCAAGGCCTGCTCGTGATCCCGCTCTTTACGGATATTGTCCCCGGCGGCGGCGGGACGTTCATCTGTCCCGAGGCGACGGCTGGAGTCGCACGGCATCTATACGAGCATACTGATGGGGTCTCGCCGCGGATGATACCGAGAGACGACCCCGATTTCTCAAAGGAGAAGAACCTTGACTGGTTCAACGGGCTCGCGCGGAGCTGTGGTGACTTTGTCGAGGCTCACGGGGAGGTGGGGGATGTGTATCTCTTGCATCCCTTGATGCTCCACAGCGCGTCGAGGAACCCGCTGCGGCGGCTGCGTATCATCACGAACCCACCGGTATCGCTGAACCAGCCTCACGTCTTTGACAGGGCGGATGGGTCGTACAGTCTTGTGGAGCAGGCGACTCTGAGGATGTTGGGTGCTGAGTCGCTGCCCGGATGGAAGATAACGGCGCCGCGGGAGCGGGTCGTCCCGGAGAGGCTCAAGGTACAGGAGCGGATGAAGCAGGAAGAGATCAAGCGTCTCGCAGCTACCGCTTCTTAGAGTTGCATAGAGTTGGCACCATGGTAGGGCTTCTGGATATACCTTCAGGATGATAGCTGGGAGCCGATAAGCGCCGGTGACGGATGAACTCAGTCGATAGATGATCTTGGCAGTCACGGCGAGTTAGGGGCCAGTCCCGGCTTCAACAACGACTGTTAGAATCCGAAAGCAAAGATATCGCGAACATAGCCTCATATAAATAAACGGCGGCATCCTTCTGCCCCGATACTGCTGCACCTTGCAAGACATTTCAATCAGTAATCGGCATCTTGGCTTTCAGATGCCAACTCATTCCAGTGGGCAGATTATCAGAAGCAAATTGTCACAACATGGCTTACACCCATACGTCGCCAATTTCAAAAGATGATCTTATTCTGCAGGCTGCAGTTGCGCTGCAGGATGCGCCTCACATTGCACAGGGATATTTGAGCGAAATGCCGAGTCAATGGCAATAGAGAAGTGAACCTCCCTTGTTCTACGAAGTATCCGCTACCGATTACTTGGCCGGGTCTAATGCACGAACAAGGTCTTGATTAACCAATACTACAAGTGGCGGTTATCACATGTGGAAGTTTCGAAAGACCACTCTTCGCAATAGAGGGGTGGGACCGAGATATCAATTGCTATGGGGACAGCTGCAGGCCTGGCGTGGATTTTGCGCTTGTGTTGCATGAGCGCTATGCCAATATAGGTTCCGTCTCATGGAACCGCAACCTTCAGGATGTCGCGATCTGACAATCATAATAGTACGAGGTATTTTGAGAAGAGACCAACGTGAGGGGGATATGGAATGGAAGCTCTTGTTGCTGCCCCTCTTCGAGATCCATCGATGGAGGACATGGGTTTAGACTAGAAGCTTCTGGGATTCAAATAATCGTGAGCACCCATTCTATTTTGAAGACTTTAAATTGCTTTTCTGTCATCTCATTTCCGGCAGAGCCAGGACTTCGTTGACTCGTGTTAATAGTTTGTTAACCCAGAACAGCTTGGTTGGATTCTTGCACTAGCAACATCGAACGATATTTCATGTCTATTGTTTGAGATCAAGTCCTCCAATTACACCAGATACTCGTGGTTCTTTGACCCTGAGTCTTGAGATAAGCGGCAGTCATTGATCATCTCAGCTTGAAGTTGTCATCGGATGTAAACTCGCCTTCAGACGAACGAAATACCAGACATCAGCAGATTCTCAGATTACATACGCATCTAGAGTGACTTCAACTTACTCACTCGTCGACGAGCCACAATGGCCCCCATTAAGAGCATAGAGTACTTCCGAGTACCTCCTCGCCGGCTCTTTGTCAAGATCACAGACGAGGATGGCAACTACGGTTGGGGTGAAGCAACCCTCGAGGGTCACACGCAGGCAGTCGAAGGATGTCTCGAGTTTTACAAGAGCCAGTTTACTGGGATGGATGCCAAGTAAGTTCAGGGTCTTTTGCGCCGTACTCTAGATCTTTCATGCTGATTGTGTTGTGCTTCGCAGTGAGATCGAGAACATCTGGCAGACAGCCTGGCGCAAGCACTTCTACCGCGGCGGTGCGGTCTTTATGAGTGCCTTGTCTGGCGGTGACATTGCCCTTTGGGACCTGACGGGTGAGTATACGCAACTGTATACAGCGCGGCGGGAGGTTGTAGTGACGGGTAAACAGGGCGTAAGCTGGGTGTTCCCATCTACGAGCTTCTTGGTGGCAAGGTCCGAGACAAGATCAAGGTCTACGCTTGGATCGGCGGGGACCGTCCTGACGATGTTGCTTTGCAAGCGTAATTTGAACACCCCTCATTAGTGAGCCATCTTGATCAAAAGGCTGACTATGAGGAAAGGCAACAGCGTCTTGACGCTGGTTTCACCTGTGTCAAAATGAATGCCACCGCGGACCTCGGCTGGCTCGACTCCCCAGCTGCTCTCCAGACGTCAGTGGATAGACTGGAGACAGTGAAGAAGATGGGCCTTGATGTCGGCGTCGACTACCACGGTCGAGTCCACAAGGCCATGGCAGGCCAGCTCGCTAAGCTCATGGAGCCTCACCAACCTTACTTCATCGAGGAACCGCTCCTCTCGGAGAACATTGGCGGCATCGTGGCCCTTTCGCAGAAGACGACGATTCCCATCGCCCTCGGCGAGCGGCTGTACCACCGCTGGGACGTCCGCCCCTTTTGGAGGCGCAGTGCATCGACATCCTCCAGCCCGATATCTCCCACGTGGGAGGTATCTCAGAGATCCGCCGCATCGCTGCCATGTGCGAGACCTACGACGTCTCCGTCGCGCCGCACTGCCCCCCGGGTCCCATCTCCCTGGCGGCCAGCGTGCAGGTCGACACGGCGATGCCCAACTTTTGTATCCAGGAGATGAGCCTCGGCATCCACTATAATGCAATGGTTGGCAACGAGGACCTGACGAGCTACATCAAGAATCCGGAGATTTGGAGCCCGGTTGGTGGCTATATTGGCATTCTCCGAGGTCCGGGTCTGGGAATCGAGGTTGACGAGGAGAAGGTGCGGGAGCTCTCGAAGAAGTGTGACATATGGGTTACGCCTGGCTTTAACGGCCCTGGAGGAGAGATTCGCGAGTGGTAGATCACTGCTCGGGGATGCGGTGTTGAGATGAGATGTTGCATCGGATCAGGGATGGGTGGCACGCGATCAACGTGATGATCGGGAACAAGCAAGCTGCCAGGCATGCTCCCAAGCTTTAGACATCCTCGATCTATCATCTAAACAGGTGGCTCACCAAGTACCTTGTCAGTCACGATCAGTCTACAATGTAGCGTGGATTGGAGAAGTTTGCAACATGCGTCGAAAAACTTTGGATAAGTGCTTTTGTTGGGATATTATGGCTCAACGCTTCTTCAAATTGTCTATACCCTTCTGTTGTTGTGTGAGTTGTTCGAGTGTTTTGTGAATGGCAATAATACCTTGACGTCGTAAGCGTTGCCATGGAGAGCTGGTCCTCATTCATTTGCTCCAGTGTACTCTGTACTAACGAGTGCATTGCTCTTCAAATTTTCGACTCTCTCCAGCTCTCTCTTTCTCTCAAGGTCTTTCTCTTTAGAGTTTATTCACCATTGAATAAGTCCAGATATTCGACAAACACTGCTCAATTATAGAGAATAAGTTGAGGTATTTTCTGAATATTTGAAACGACAAGAAGCGTCACAACATCGTATTTTGGTTGAAATCGCGGACAAGGCCTAGCCCAGCAGAACGGCCCGCAGCCAGTCGTAAAATGCACAAGCGATACCTTGGGAAGATTATTGGTACTCCGTACACTGGAGCAAATGAACAGTAGCGGAGATGTATCCTGCGTGCCTGCATGGCAAATGTCGTTGAACGCTGTGACCACCACCTTGGGATGGCGCCAGCAAACCTTCGGTTAAGCAGGACCCTTGCCCGAGTGCTCCTACCTGACATCACCCCATCCGGTGTGCGGTTCTCGGTCTCTCCGTGCCTAGAATTTGGGACCTTACCTCAATTACCTTTTCCCAGATTTCCCTCCCGACACATCTTCTTTCCCCCCATCCCTTAGCAGCCCGCAACAATGAGCAGCGACGACGAGGACTTTGTCGTCGAAGGCCCCGAGTTGGCCGCAGACGACCCCATGCGCGCATTCCTACCGGCGTCGTTTGGAAAAAAGACGAAAGAAGCCAACATTGCCGCCCAGATCGATCGGAGCCGAAGAGTGGCAGAGAAGCCCTCGGCAGGAACACCCATTGAGGGATCCGCAGGTCCGCCAAAAGCTAATCACAAAGACAAGAAGTCCGACTCAGACAATGACAGTGACAGCGACGACTCCGACTCGGATGATTCCGAAGATGGCGACGACTACCCAGTTTCCCACGAGTTGGTCCTGAAAACGCACGAAAGAGCAGTCACCACAGTGACGCTGGACCCGGCAGGCGGAAGACTCGTATCGGCCTCACTCGACTGCAAGATCAACCTGCACGACTTCGCGTCCATGACACCGAGTACATTGAGAGCATTTCGAAGCGTTGATCCATGGGAAGCAAAATCTTCTTCTGCGAATGCCGAGTCGCACCCGATCCACCATGTTGAGTTTAATCCTCTCGCTGGAAGCGTATTTCTCTGCGTATCGGCCCACCCGCAGGCAAAGATTATGTCGAGGGACGGCGACATCGTGACCGAATTTGTCAAGGGCGACATGTACCTCAGGGACATGAACAACACCAAGGGGCACATCTCCGAAGTAACCACCGGAACTTGGCACCCGACCGACAAGAATCTCTGTGTGACTGCCGGCACCGACAGCACCCTAAGAATCTGGGATATCAACAACAAGCGCAGTCAAAGGGACGTGATTGTCTTCAAGTCCAAGGCGGCGGGATCCGCTGGTCGAACGAGGATGACTGCGGTTGCCTGGGGCGCGCCGGCACAGGGTGGTAACAACGTATTGGTCGCAGCCGCACTGGATGGCTCGCTGGTCATGTACAGCGGCAACAGCCCGTTTTCTCGGCCAACGGCAGAGATTCGGGACGCCCATAAAGCCGATACCTGGACTGGAGGTGTGGATATCTCTTCTGACGGTCGCATGGTCGTCACCCGCGGAGGCGACAATACGATCAAGTTGTGGGACACGCGAAAGTTCAAGACGCCTCTTGTCACGGTGGACCATGCGTCAACATCAGATCACTTCCCGATGAGCAACATCAGATACTCCCCCAACTCGACAAGCATTTTGACAGGTTCCGCAACAGGCGACCTGCACATCCTTAACCCCGGAAATCTCAGAGCCGAGCATGTCACGCCAATCACGCCAGGAGCACCTCTCATTACTGTCGATTGGCACCCCAAGATCAACCAAATTGTCACGGGATCTGCGAATGGCGAGACACATGTGCTTTACAGCCCGACAATGTCGATGCGGGGTGCCGTGGAGGTTATGTCGCGAGCGCCAAAGAAGAGGCACATTGACGACGATCCATCCCGAACGACAGATATGACAGCAGGCATGTCTGGAGATGCTATCATCACACCAGGAAGCGTGATGGCTGGCCGGAGAAATGCGGGAGTCACGGCTTCCGGCAAATCCAAGGATCCCAGAAGACCGGCGGTCTTGGAGCAAACGCCGTTCATGAGAAATCAGCCGGACGAAAAGCATATCGCAGAGAACATCCCTCTTGCGAAAATGCTTCACGAAGACCCCAGAGAGGCACTGCTGAAATATGCTGATGCCGCGAAGAAAGACCCAATGTTTACTGCTGCGTGGCAGACGACACAGCCCGTTACTCAATACGCGGATGTGAGCGACGACGAAGGGGAGCCGGACAAGAAAAAGGTCAAGCGGTGAGCAGTTGCGGTGCTGCTGTCGGGCCTAGGTGTATGATTTCGTGGGGAACCATGGCAGGAGTATGAGTTTAAATCTGGACAAGGGACGGGTTTTGTTTTTTTAGAGCAGTCGAGTGCTGGCTAATCAATTCGGGTTACAGTTGGGGGATATGGGTACGGGGAGAAACACCTAGGAAATGGCAAGCCTACGATTCGGCTGCATTCCTGAAGGATCTCTCCACTTGTTCATCTTTCCATCAGATTAGCTTCGCTGGGAGCAACCCCCAAACATGGAGACAGGCAAAGCAGCTGACACTTGCAGCAGTGTTTGGACGTCCCTGCGGGCCGCCACGGCCAATTCACCGGGCCAGGCCCGGGGTAGGTAATCCAGCCAACGCGCGTTTGGAGGAGAGACTAGGACGGGTCTACGGGGGAGAGAGACGCGCTTCTGATGCGCCGACGACCTAAACAATTTTTCTTCAACCTTGCTGCAAACGAAAGACGACAGATGCCAAGCGGAGCGTGGATCTGGCATTCCTTGGTGGCCGATGAACCTGACAGGCGGCAGGCCACGGTTTGAGGCGCGTTTGTGGCCCGGATAGTACCCGAAGCCAACCAGTGGCCGACCAGGCCGGCCACTGCCTGGTCGTGCCTGCCTGCAGTAAACCAGGAAAAGAACTGGCCCAAGCGCCCTCGCTTGTACATAAGAAGATTAGCGTAGACGCCTCAGGCACAAAGTTGTTGCGGTGCTGAAAATTACGGGGACTCAGTTTCACAGAGTCCGCACCAACCATCAATGAATCTTGTCGTTGTCCTCACCTCTCCATCTCAACCGGCACCGCGCGCATCGAAAAATCGCCATCCCCCCTCTACAGGCATCGACGCCCATCTCGGAAAGTGTCCAGCAACCTATTCCACGCGATTTCCTCGCGCATCTTGCTCGAGGTAACGCACCGACGCCGCGCCCAACCGACCAACTCCCGTTTTTCGCATCACGTCCTGTTCACCCTTCCACCCATTTTCCCCCCACGCTTCGCGGCACCGCATTCGCGTCCCCCGTCCATCGCCTCTGCCGCTGAACTCCATCAGCCATCTCGGTGATTTCGATTCCACGCGACCGACGTGTCTCCGTTCCGACCACGGCATCTACCTTGCCGTCCCCGAACCACGTCGCCGTCCCCAAACCCCGTATTTTCGATAACGACGCGCTGCATTTTACCGTCCTTATCACCAATAGCCTTCTAGTCTCTCATTTCGCGACGAGCCGAGCGCGACAAGCCTTCAATAAGGCTCCACTTGTCTACACCTACGACGCCTTTGCATGATAATGCGCGCGAGATTGTCGTCGCATCTCTAGAGATTCCCGCAGTCATTTGATTTGCCGGAATACATACGTCGCCCACCATGGCTTCAGTACAGGCTGCGCCTGCCGTCCAGCTCCCTGGCGCCGGCATGGCGGCTACCACTCCTCAACAGGCCCAAGAGATATTCAATGTAAGCGCCTTTTCTCCATCATAACCGCATTCCTTTTGCACTCCAATCATGTGTCAAAGTTTGATGTGATTCTATGATGCTAACACACCCAAGAAATTCAAGCAGATGAGAGAGAGCGGCGTCCCAAACACTGATCCCGAATACATCAAGGCGGAGCAGTTCGTCTTGTCCTTCCAACAACAGGCGCGTCTGCGACAGAAGCAACAGCAGTTCCTCCAACATCAGCAGCAACAGCAACAGATGCAACAACAGCGACAGATGCAGCAGGCTGGCGGACCCAACGGCGCCGTCAATGGCTCGCAGGCCGCTCAGCAGCACCCTCAGTCGACACAACCTCCCACATCAAGCGCGCTCAGCGCCTCGGCGCTTCCTGCAGCCAACTCAAATAACGCCGCCGCTGCCGCTGCAGCTGGCTCTCCTTCGACAGCTGCTCCTCCCAGTGGCCCAGGTGCTGGTCAATTCAACCCGCAACAATTGAGTTTGCTTAGACAACAGATCCACGCGTTCAAGCTGTTGACGAAGAATGCTGGAGTCCCTTTGCAGATGCAGCAAGCTATCTTTGCCCAGCGCGAGCGCAGGAAAGCCATCGCCGCTGAGGCTGCTGCACTGGCAGCTTCATCTACACCCGCAACGACTGGTCGAGACTCTGCACAGCCCGGTATCAATGGATCCGAAGCCAAGTCTGAATCTCCTCCCGAGGTTCAAGGACCGACGTTCAAGACCGTCAAGTCTCCTTATGGAGACAACAACCTGATTCGCAAGTCGATTAGCCACTTTGATCACACTCAACGGAAAAACCG